TGTGAAAGCAAACACTTTCTCCCCTTTAGACAGAGAACCTGAGACCTGGAGAAGGCCCCTGGGTGATAGATAATACCTTCAGTAGGATGGTTTCTCTGGGATGGGGCTCATGGGCATTATTCTAAGAAGCGCAGCCTCCTGAGAACTGTCTGAACAGCAGCTCTCTAACTAGTGGCTGGTCTCAGATGGTATTTTAAAAGCACATGCCATGCCCACCAGGCTGAGAAGATACCATCCATCACCATGACTCCTGTGACATCACACAAGTCAACCAAAGACGCTCTGTGGGGCTGGATGACTTGGACCACTGCGGCCTGCACTGGGGTGTGTTGTAAGCAGCATTACCAAAGCAGTGGTTAAACTTAACTATCTGGGTCAAGAGGAGGTGAGCCAGCCAGCATAACATACTAATGGGGCAGGGCAACCAGAATTTCCACATAATTGATGGGGAAGAAACCTGAATGGCCATGAAGCATCCCCTCATACCAGTTCTCATCAATTTGGTTAGTGAGTGTGATGATATCACCCTCTTTAAAACCCAATTCCCCTTCATTTTCAGGTTCAAAGTCGTACAGAGCTCGGCAGCAGGGCTGATCCATTGGGACACCTGGGAGTCAGAGGAGGAGAGAAGAACACAGAAAGACAAGGGGAATTTAACTCACATGTGTACCACCTTCTGCACCTGCCTGATGACCCCTCGGTTCCTCCCTCACTCCTCTTGCTGCTGAAGCCTCTTCTTGCCACTAGCCCCCAGTGTCGCTGCATGGTGTCTCCCCTCTACAGTCTTCAGGAGCTCTCTCAGATGTGTGGAAGGTGCTGGATCCCTGTTCCCATCTCCAGTATGAAAAATGGCCTCATCTGTTCTTGTGATGTGTACAGCAGAGTTTATCAAGGCTNTCCCTGTTCCCATCTCCAGTATGAAAAATGGCCTCATCTGTTCTTGTGATAAATTCTTGTGTACAGCAGAATTTATCACGGCTGCCTTCCTGACAATGCCCAGTGATGGGAAACCCAGCGACTTAAGGAGATTTAATGACATTTGGGTTCATAATATAGCATGGTCAGAACTCTTTCCATATTAGCACTTTAAAACCTCTGCACACGCGAAATAGTATAGTTAATTACATGGACAATGCTTTGCAACCTCAGAATAACTGTGCAGTTCTCACTTTTTAAAAATAAAGACTCCAACCTCTGGAAAACCACTATGATGTGGTGAAAACACAACAATATAAAACACTGGGTTCAAGTTCTAACTCTGTGTGACCTTGCACAAGGCACTTTTCACTCTCAGGTTTTTTGTGTAACAACTCACTTCACAGCACTATTATATCTATTAAAAGAGATTATGTAAAAATTATATCATTTACACCTTGTAAACTACTGCATGTATAAATTAGAGGAGTGCATCGGAACTACGGCATGTTAAAATAATGTACTATACCTTGAGTAAAATAATGAAAAGAAATAGAGTTATATCTTGAAAAGGACCTATGTTAAATGACCAAGTATGATTTTTCACCTAAGCCCACATATACTTCTATGATAGTATATAGAAGTATATAGTATATGCTTGTAATAAAGGGTTAATGAGGAAAAAAAAAAAGACCAAATATATTCACACATATGCACATGAACTCAGACGCGTGTATACAGCTCCCATGCCATCTACATGGCTTTTAACGTCAACAGTGTAATATGTTTTCTTGTTTAAAGAAAGCAGAGCCCTGGCCGGTGTGGCTCAGCTGGCTGGAGCACTGTCCCGTACACTGAAAGGGGGCGGGTTCGATTCCCAGTCAGGGCACATACCCAGGTTGCGGGTTCGATCCCCGGGTGGGGTGCATACGGAAGGCAACTGGTCGATGTTTCTCCCATCCATGTTTCTCTCTCTCTCCCCCCCTTCCTCTCTCTCTGGAATCAGTAAGAACATATCCTCAGGTGAGGATTTAAAAAAAAAAAAGAAAGCAGAAAATGAACAAGCCTCTGAAAGAAAAGTAAAACATGCAGCTGGTTTCTGCGCAGGAAGAAGCGAGTTCGGTCGCCACACGTGACCGGTCCTGGGGCAGCGAACTTCTAAGGGCCGCCGCTGCTTATGCCCCACACCGAGCTGTGAGCAGCTGACGTGAACACGGAGAAACAGAGCTCCCCCTGTCATCACAGACCTCACTTTTCCTTCAGAGTCTCCTGAAAGCAGCTCACAAGAGGTGTCCTGCTGGAAAGCATCAAGCACTGGAAACGCAGGGGAAACGGGGAAGCTGCGTGTCTTTAAAATCCACACCCAGGATGAGATAGCTTCCACGTCTTAACCCAGCAAATGCCAAGGTTGGAGATCTCTCACGCACTGTTCTCGCCCATTCGCTCCTCACCGCGCCCTTGGAGCGGCCGCCCGAGGGCCGTGTGCGCGTGTGTGGGGCGCGCGCGGCCCACGGGCACTCACTCCCCTGCCTGCGGGAGCCACGGAAGGGGGAAAACGGAAAAAAAGACGCCACCCTGACACAAAACTCACGCGTTAAGATGATTTTACGACCACAAAGGAGGGACAAAATCAAGTGTGATAATTAGGGGGTGAAGAGCTGATGATGGAGAGTGAGAGAGAAAAACGATGCGTTTTATGGAGAGAAGAGGCAACGAGAGGAAACGACACAGCCAATGAGAGGAGAGGGGTCCTTTCCAAAGAGTTTCTGAAATCAATAAAGATATATTTTTTAAAAAACAACAACAAAAAAACCCAAAACAAACAAAGAAACAAAACCCAAAAGCGTTTCTCCCTGAAACAGCCATCGCTTAGAAAAGCATTGCTGGATATTTCTTACGCAGCCAGGTGAGAGCGCTCCCAGGGTTTCTGGGACAGCGTCGGCAGGGTGGCACCCCTTACCTGAAGGCTTGGGGGTGCCCGTGTGGGAGAGGCCCCCGTTGGGCTGAGTGCTGTCTCCGGCCGGGAACTCCAGGCTCATGCGCGGCTTGGGCTGATACTCCCTCCTCGGCTGAGACGAAGCTTGTCTTATTCTGCGTTGGAAAGAAGAGCAGGAGAGACAGTGTGCAGCCAATTAAGGAGCCAAATGGAAAGCAGTGAAACCCAGGGTCACCCGCAGTCTGCCACGTGCAGCAGCGGAAATGGAAAGGGCCTCCGCTGTCTCCTGTGCCTGTGTCTGCTTTGGGTGATGTCCCTCTACGGCCACGGCCTCCCTGCCTCCGTCCCCTCTCTCAGTCCCTCACTTCCAGCCTCACTTCCTGAGCTCACCCTGCACTGTGCGGTGCCAGGACCACAGAGATGAGTCAGACACAGCGTGTGCCCTCAGGACTTACGGTCTGTGGGGGACAGAACACAAACAACCGATCCCCATGAACAGCAGGAAGTGCTGCTCTAGAGACAGGTGCGAAATGCTGCAGGACCACGGGGTCGGGGGAGTCTGCCTGTCCATGGGGAAGCTGGAGAAGGTTTAAGGAAGAAGGGGACGGATAAGTAGGAGTCATTTCCAGAGGAACCGTTTGCAGAGAGAGTCATTCCATGCAGAGCTTGAGAAGGCTGGAAGGGAGGAAAGGAGGAACTGTGTGCTCCGAGGGCAGCGAGCAACTTGCAATGCAGGAAGGGGAAAGAAATGAGGGAAACCAGGAGCGAGGGGCAAAGGGACTGCGACAGGTGCACTCTGCACCCCCTGAAGCGTTTCCGGTTTCAGTTATTCACTAAAGAAAGTGCAGGCAGATCTGCAAAGGTGGGGAGACTGAGGGAATGGTGACAGCGGAATGACAGGGACTTGGTACATATTTTAGAGGAAAGAAAGGAAAGAATATCAATCACGCTCGACACACGTCACAAAGACACATTTCTTCAGCGTGTTCGAGCGCGTGGTTGTAACCCTTTCTAGAGGCCTCCGAGTGTTCCACACATCTCCAGCGGGGTGCACTGAGGGAGGACCCGCAGTCAGGGCCCCCGTGGGGCGGGGGATGCTGAGCAGAGGAAGCCATGGGAGCAGGAGAGGAGGCTTCCACCGTGCAGCACAGTGACTGCTGGAGTCATCGTGCATCTAGCCACCTCGTCAGCTGTGAGCGTCAAGGCTGCTGAGGTGACCCTTCGATGTACCTACATTTAGCAAAATCACCCTGCTTAATCTGGCTAAATAAAGCAACATGTATTATAGTGCAGGGCCACTGTATACAGCTGAGCAGGCTGCCCCCCAACTCCAGGGAGCCCCATTCACAAAGAAAACTACCACAGCGCTGCTGTGGGCACCTCTGAGGAGGTGGGACAGGCACAGGAAAGCAGCCCTCTCTGATGGACTTGGTAGCCATTCAGACAAACACAAGGTGTGAAAGGTACAGCTCTCAAACCGGTTATGCTTGATCATGAACCACTGTGTGACCCAGAGCTACTTAGGCAGCTCCCTGAGCCTCAGTTTGCTCATCTGTTAGGAGAGGCTGACAATGCTTGGCCTTCAAGGCTGTTATATAATTGATGATGATGTGCCTTCAGTACCCACACAGAGCAGCGGATCAGTAAGTTGCATCCATTATCATCGGAGCATCCTGCTGTCCCATCTGTGGCAGCCAAAATATAATCCTAATACTGACTTCGCATACACATGAAATTAGATTCAGTGCAACAAAGTAAAACAAAACATCAGGAGAAATAAAGGCAAAACAAATGACCCACAGGGTGCCCATACAGGATCAGCAGGAATTCTGGCAGAGGTTTTTCTTCAACTGTATTTTCTCCATTATTTCCATGTCATTTTTATAACAAGAAAATGGGAATGTAAAATGCAGGGAACTGTCAAATACCTTTCTTCCAGTCTGACGGTGACTTGCTGCAGGATCTGGACTGCCTGCTTATGGTACTCCAGCTGGGCTTGGACGAGCGCAGAGAGCTGGCTCACCTGTTCGATCTGCAGACCGATGGCAGGAATTACACCTTAGTTACTAGGTTACTGTCCGTGAGCAGCTACTACTGTCCTGTGTATATGACAGGGCTGCCAGTGACACACAGCCCAGGGGTTGGTGACGCCCATGACTGCGTGGTGAGCCCACTAAGACACAGAGCTTTACAGGTTCCAAATCAATGAAGGATAAGAAAGCATCCTTATGCTTGGGAATTCTAGTTCTACGAGGAGAAGCAACAGTATTCAGAATCCTCCTGACGATTACACAGCTCTCATCAAACAGTCTCATGCTTAGCTACACCCTTCTGGAGGGTTTGCCTTACTTTACTGATACCCTACAAGAAAAGACATGTATTGACCCAAGGATCCATTGCTCCCTATACTTTTCATGCTAAGTCAATACTAGTGCTGTTAATAAAAACGTGAATATTGATTTCTCACATGAGGCACCATGGGCAGCATGTGGTACCACGGAAAATCTTTTGTCCTCTGTGAGCCTCCTCTGTAAGGTAAAGGGGTTGGGTCAAGTGACATTTGGTTTCATTCCAGCTCTAATATTCTAAGCACACTCGGTTACTCTTCACTTTGCATCTTGTGTTGTGATCTAGCTGAACAGTGGCCTCCAAATGGACAGAGGCGGTGCTGGCCCATAAGTTCTGGGGTGCGGTACAGCCCCGGGTGCAGGTCAGGAGCACTGTGACTCAGGTCACCCCTCGCCCCCCCATGCCTACGGCACTCCTCTTAAGTAGGTAGGTGGACACACGTTGTTTTACATAAACACAAACCTACACTGCCTCTGGGTGATGGGAAAGTCTGGGCATGGTCAGCATGCCCCCTCTGACACCAGTCAGGGAAAAGCAATTAATGGTAAGTGCACAAAGGCTCTGTAAACATCTTGGCGGAAGTCAGTCAGCAAGTAAATGGGCCAGAGGTGGGGTGAGCAAGGACAGGAAGGCTGGTAACAGCTTTCATACAGCAGCGGTTGGAATGTAACTTCTAAAGCTCTGAGTAATAAGTTAGTCCTCTGGAAATGTGACAGCAGCCTTTAAACCATCTCATCTATTCCCCAAATGGAGTATCTATGCTACAGTCATCAATCTCAATTGAAATTACCTTTGAAAGAAAATGTCAACTTTACTTCAAAATACAGAACATCTTAACCCATGTTTAACACTCTTCTGAATGCATCTTAGTTGATAGTCTTATACAATATGTAGTCAATCTGCCCTGCATTTCAACAGAGTATTTTATTTTTAGCTATTGGGCTCACACATGAGTCATCAGAAATATTCTTTATCTCTCCACTATTGGTGAGATCATTAGTAGACAAAAAATATAGTTAAACTATAGAAATACAGGGAAAAAACTTACCATTTCTAATCTACTTTGTAATTCAAATTATTATTTTTTTAAATCAACTGAAGTTCTCATCGCATAGTGTGATCAAATATTAACACTTTTAATGATGTAACCTTTTAGCACATTAACCTTGAGCCTCATGGAAGATTAAATGAAAAACCACAGGAGAGTCACTCACATCCATCTCCAACAGATTGAACATGCTTGACTCAGCTATTTCTTTAGACTCGTCAAACTTCTCCAGAGCTTGCCGGAGCTCTTCATCTGGAATCTTGCCTTGTCGTTTCTTCTTATAATCGAAGTCCAGGCGTCGACCCTCTAGCTTCTTTAGATGATGCTGAAAAAGTCGGGGGCAGGCTTACACTTTGAAAGGACTCGTGGAAATGGCCTATTTAGAGTTCACTTCTCCAACATGCCTGTTAGCTTCCAAAATGAAGCAGGCTACGTTCTAAAATATGTCACCAGACAAAAACCAAACAAACATGCATCAGTGGGGAAAATGCTTCCAACCGCTGTGGGGAACCTTTATTTATTTATTTTTTGCCCTCACTGGGACAAACCCAGGCTGGAATCTGCCTTCCCCTTCCAGATAGAAGCTGGGAATGTGTACACACGCTCTACACGCGGAAAGCACAGAGCCTGCAAATCCCCAGCTCCAGGGGAAATGATATCTTATGAGAAGGCAGAAAAAACCCCCACTTTCCTTGAAATGAAGAAAGAATGGAGTTCTTGATTTCTTTTTTTTTTTTTTTTTAATTTCTTTTTTTTTCCCTAATATGTGTTTATTGATTTCAGAGAGAGGGAAGGAGAGGGAGAGAGAGAGATAGAAACATCAATGATGAGAGAGTCATTGATCGGCTGCCTCCTGCACACCCCTGACTGGGGATCAAGCCCCCAACCCGGGCATGTGCCCTGACCGGGAATCGAACCCCGATCACCTGGATCCTAGGTCTATGCTCAACCGCTGAGCCACGCCCGGCCAGGTGGAATTCTTGATTTCAAATCATAGAGCCTTAGCACTAGAAAGGACTTATCCCTGAGGTAATCCAATCTGTTAGAACTGCCTGATTCATTATTAATGGCTTATTTAAAATATGGATTCTTGATCACCTAAATTAGCATATCCAGGGCTGGCGCCTGGGAATCTACATCTTAGCACTTAGCCTCGTTGACTGAAGCAGCTTTTAGGGAACCACTGATTAGTTTAGGTCTCCCATTTGACACTCAGTCACAAAATCTGACTCAGAAGGAACCTTAGAAGGGACCTAATGCCCACAGGGCACTTCAAGCCCTCCTTGCATCATCCCACCCCATGCTGTCCAGTCTCTGCCCAACACCTTCAGTGACCAAGTGAAAAAGTGGTTTCTCAGAGCTACAAAGTATTTTCTTCCTAAGAGCCTCCGTGTTCCATTACTAACAGGTAGGGGAATGGGCTGGAATTCCTTTGATCTTGGGTGTGTACAGAGCAAGAGGCAGATGAAAACAGAGTTGGGAATGGTGAAGAAATGAGAAGGAAAGAAATAAGAAAAACACCCCAGACCTTCCCTCCCAATGCACACCCTGCCTCCAACCCATGCTCTGACCCAAAGCTAGATGTTTGTTCCTTTGGAAGGAAAACCCTTGCAAAAAGGCTGAACTTGTGTCAGCCGCGGGGCAGCGAACTGGAGTCAGAGTTCCGTTTTAGGTTGAGAGCGAGTCTGCCCCTTACTAACTGTGCAGCCGCGAGCCAGCGCTGGGGCTGCAGGGGGCTGAAGCCAGAATAAGGGGATCTAGGAGACCTCAAGGTACGGCAGCCCATTGCTCAATAAAGGAAGCCACATTTCAGACACGGTCAACAAATAGTTGTGGGAGGAATGAGTGAGCAAACATTACACATCTAGTCAGAGGCAAAGCCCGTTGAACTTTATTTGGAATAGCTCAGCTTTCCACATGTTTCAGGAAGAAAACAGCTGTGTGTCCTTTCTCAATCCTAACAACTGTTACGCAAATATAAAAACTACTGATTTAACTAACAACTAGTGCAGCTAGCATTTTAGAGAATGAAACCAGTCCAGACAACCAGAGAATAAATAATATAATTATGTATTATTAGGGAAAGAATATTATCCTTTTGGAGGAAAAAAAGCTTCAAAGATCTTGAAAACTGAATGTGGAGATCAAATGTAATGTCTGCGGGTGGCACAGTCCTAACAGTGGGGCAAAAAGTATTGCATTTCTGGTTTCTTGTAATTTATTTTGCTGGACTGTTTTGCAATTCATGTGCCCAGTGCTGACAACGTGCAAATAAACTTAAAAAATGTTTTCTAAAGGAAAGGGCACCCGCACCTGCACAACCTAAACTGCCCACTTCCCAGAGGACTAGTGGCAGATACCTGAATTTCCCTCAGGTCCTTGTCATGAAGATTCTGAAGGGGGTCAATGAAGTTCTGCTTCACTTCCATGTCCAAAGAGTCTTTCACCTCCGAGAGCTCCCGCATGGCCTCCCCCACGTCACCGAGTGCTGGGCCTAGAAGGGGGAAATGAAGCTCCTGTATGTTAAAGAGCAGAGGGGAAATGCACTTGCATTGACAGGGCCCATCACAGAAGAAAACCCGCGGACGTCTGCCTGTCTCCCGAAGACAACCGAGACGAGAGACAGTATGCAACTCTCAGTTCACACCAGCAACAGACGCAGTGCCCCCTGAGGAGGTGGTATCTCTTATAAAATTTTGCTTTTCCTTTAAAAAGCAATTTGGGAAGCTCCCTGCCCTTCCTTATAATTACCAGCTTTCCTGCTTAAGGGCAATACATTTCTCAGGAGCAAATCATTTGCTAAGACCATCATTTGCTAAGACCTCACATCAGAAGGAATGAAAACAAAAGCTGCTCAGTATGTAGCTGAGGGTCACAGGATATGTCTCATCTGAGGCACAAGAAGTTGGTACCACATACAAAAGAGCAGAGATCTAAGAGAAAGCCCATGGGGCATTGTGTTAAATCACACTCATTGTGACTATTGTTCTGCCTCAATATCCAGTCACTGCCAGATATACTCAATAGTAAGGGTCCAGGTATTTGGATATGTCAATCAGCTACTGTATAAACTGGGATCTCATCAGGGAACTAGAAAATAAACAAAATCCCTACAACAAACCACACTAAAAATGTTGAAACAATTCTGAAGACTAATTTTTGTCCCTTGTATACAGGGCCTAAAACTGAGAATCAAAATACGAAATAGTCTGAATAATTTCCTAAAGAGTTTCTTTCTGGCACTAAAATCCCAATGGTCAAACGGGAGAATTAAAATGGGAGAAAGCACTCATTACCGAAGTTGCAGTCGTCTCCAAGCTCTCTTCCGAACTTGAGCATGGCCTCTGCGAGCAGCGCTTCCGCCTGGGGATAGCCTGGCCCTTTCTCCTGGCCGCGGATTTTTGACATTGTGTTGATCATGCTGAGTTTAGCTCTGGAAGCTGAAGGCAAAGAGATAATAGGCTTTCAAAGTAGGCAATGTAATAAAGCGGGAACAGGGCTGGGTGACGACTCAGGCCTTAACCAGTCTATAAACCAGCTCAGCTACTGAAAACTGCACCCTCTCCTTCCTAGCTTCAGTGTCTTCATCTATAATGTGTGGAGTTTGGTCCACAGGCAGACAGATATATAGATGATATAGATATAGGTATAGGTAGAGATAGACATACACATACACATAGGCATATATTTTTTAAATCACTAAACTCTCTCAAAATCTTAAGAGGAACTTAGAAAAGGTAAAGTCCTCATGTGCTCTTCCTGTGCCCTTTCCAGGCCTCTCTTCATTGTGGCGGTCTTGGCAGGGCCTCTGTGGAGCTGGGTGGCCCCATGGAAAGCATTTTGAAGACTATTGGATTATGTGATCTCTATTGCACAGGGAATCTAGTTTTAGAATTCTAGTCTTGTATTTCAAGTCTAGGAGTCCGTGGACTAAAGTAGAAAATTAACTCTTGCAGTGTGGGCCTTATGCCATGTTTCGATTACACCCTGTATAAAATGGAACTATTTTCAAAATCACTTCTCAACTAAAATTCTGACAGCAAACAGACCCACGAAGAACAGAAATACTGCGTTCATTAAACACACTTAATCACTTCTCTTAGCACATAATTGTATCGGAAAATTAGTTCTGTGCCACAAAGACAGCATTTCGATTTCTTTTTTTGCTTAAATTTTTATACAAGAAGATGCCTAGAAAGCAATTAGTGTTGTAGTAGAAGAAACTGTTTTACTAATACACTGCTAAAGTCCATAATTTACATGATGCTAGGATATAAGGCTTCCTCAGCTTCATTATTAGAGTTGAGACGGTACATTAACCTAGGACTGCCCAAGATCGCTCAGTACCGAAACCCAAGAGAAATCACAGCTACAGGCACTGCCAGCATCCAGTGGCTGACACTGAATCTTGAACATCTGTTTCAAATAGGCTTTCATTTCAACTTTGGGCCTCAAAGGTTGAGACTGGTGGTGAGAGAGTTACCATGAGAAGACCCCCCTCCCAACCCTACACCAGGCATATTGCAATGAACAAGACAGCTATGGTCCCTGCCCTGACAAACCTAGAGGGAACTGAGGGTAGCATCTATTTTAAAAGCAATCTGAGTGAAATGTGTATACGAAGTGTCATCCAGGGGATGACAGTGAGCCACAGAAGTATAGCATCACCCTAGTTTATAGGGGTGCAAATTGCAAAGAAAAATTCCAGAGAGAAGTATCTTTAAGCTTAGAATTACATAGAGTAACAGTCAGGCTAAAAGCAATATGCAAAGTGTGGTGGGAACTGGAAAAAATATGATGCATGTTTTCTTTACCCTGCTTTTCATAGAAAAGTGCATCATACATGTCAAATTTCAAAAACTGAAAATGGCACATAGTCACACACATTTTTGAGGGGATGGTATCATTAGCTTCTATTTTCAAAGCCTTTTCTACAATTAGCCATATCAGATCCAGGGAAGACGCAGCCCCTGGCCTCAAGGTGCTCACAATATAGTAAGGCACCAGGTAAACAGGGGCAACAAACATAAACACAATGCCGGCTGCCATGTGCAAGGTCCTGGGGGAACAGACAAGGAGTCACAACGGCACAAATAAAAGAGAAATAGCCCGGCCGGGCGTGGCTCAGCAGTTGAGCATCAACCTAGGATCCAGGTGATCGGGGTTTGATTCCCGGTCAGGGCACATGCCCGGGTTGTGGGCTCGATCAATGACTCTCTCATCATTGATGTTTCTACCTCTCTCTCCCTCTCCTTTCCCCTCTCTGAAATCAATAAAGATATATTAAAAAAAAGAAATAAACAGCAGATAATAACAAGTACCAAAGGAACAGAAGGAAAGGAGACCAATGAGATCAAGGACAGGGTACGGAAACCACACATGGTGTTATCCCTTCAAATCCTGTAGTGACCATTCTACAAGCTACAGGTTTATTCCTTCTATGAAAGCTGGCTGTTGATGTGCTTATACCTTGGTTCTGTTAAGAGTTGTCTTCTGGTAAGTAATTCCCAGAAGTAATTATAACCGTTTTAATATACTGTAGCTAATTTTCAAATTCATCATTTTGAATGTTGCTCAGTTATGGAGAGTCGTATTCTTCTAACTACTTAAGAACACCGTGAATATATTCTACAGTTTAATGAGAAGGGGGAAGAACACCATATTCTATTAGTTTACTTCTGCAAATCATCTAAAATACCTAATAATCCACACATTTGAAAAACTGCTTTTAAATTCATTCACAAACCCATTAAATATTTATTAAGAATCCTGGATTAGTAAAACTTCTGTGTCCCTGAAAAAATATCACCAGACTTCAGAGTTAACCATTTTTAAGTGTTAATATAATCATTTAAAAATGATTTTTCAAAGTAGTATTTCAAAAAAGCAGAGAGTAAGCCTGAAAAATACTAATTCCACATACCAGAATTCCTGTAATATGGTCTCAGCCTGACCTGCTTCACCAAGTTGGATGTGCCCCTAGGGACCCTCTTCTCTCCTAAAAGGACCTGACTTCTCTCTACTGTTTTTATTTTCCTGCCGCAGCTTTACTCTTTCTTACAAATTGTCACAAGCTCTCTATGTCCCATCCTTACTCTCCCACCTTCACTAGCCCAGTTCCAGTGACCCCCACTGGGATTACTGCAGAAACAGCTTCCAGGCGGCACCCTCTCCCCTGGTCCATGAGAGCAGGATCCTGGTACGTTGCCCCATGTATCTCCCAGAGAGGGTGAGCATAAAGCCGTGCACCCAGATGTTTAACACACGTCGGCTGAAGACAATGCTAAATGAATGAATGGCTCTCCGGGAAACTAGTACACGATCAGGGCAGTGGTTCATATAAGAGACACTTCACATCTTTTGTCTCATGTCCTAGAAAACTGGTTTCTTTGGTTGTATAAAAGGTGTCCCAATCAAATAGAATATTTTAATTGAGAAAAGGAAGAGACCTGACCCTGCTGGTGGTGAAATTCCCTACTGAAAACAGGGCATTAGTGCCAATCTACACAGTGAACTGTGGGACATGTCAGCCTACGTCCTCCACGTATCCCCCGAGAACTGGCAGCGAGCTATATATCCTCTGGGCGGCGGACCAGAAGGTTCTTTTTTGGGAAATACAACCAACCCAAGAGAAGAAACCTACACACACAGCTGGACGTACCAATGCAACAATCCCAGAACGATCACCCTAGAATGAAGCCATTATAGTTAATAAGCACCATGACCCGCCCTCCACCCTACACACACACAGCTTTGCTGTCCTACACCTAAGCAGAAATGACAGCGGCTGTCACCAGATTTTGAAGAAAGCTTCTAACATTAGTCAAAACAAACATAGAAATTATAGGAAACAAACCATCGAGGGAGGGAAAAATAACTATCATTAATATTCGCAGGTGTCTACTATGTTTTTATCCATAAAATAAAAGAGATCGTGAAGAACACTCAGAAATTAAAACATAATTAAAGTTTAAATATGCATTTAAATAAAACATAAAATTTAGCAATCAATGGAAGCGTAGATGACGGTTGAAGCAAATCCCCCCGAAGTGGAATAAAAAGAAAAGAGATAAAAATACCAGGAAGCATAAAACCAGCATCAGTTCAGGTCTAGAGGCTGAGTAATGAAAGTTCTAAAAAGGAAGAACACAGAAATAAAAGGGAAGTACTTTTTAAAAGTTCAAGAAAATTTCCCAGAACTAGCGAACATGTGTTTCCAAACTGAAAGGATCTACTGAACGTTCAGCACTGTGGATAAAAGGGTCCATACTAAGAACCATTCATATGAAATTTCATAAAGCTGGGGACAAAGAGAAGTTCCTGGAAACTTTCAGAGAGAAAAAAAAAAATAGGTTGCGTATAAAATATCAAGAATTAGAAGGAACATAAGAAAACCATGAACATGAGAAATTTCCTCAGAAAACAATAGAGCACCGTCTCTTAGAGAAAATCATCTACAATTCCATGTTCAAATTATCAATGATGTATAAGGGTAGAATAGTGGTATTTTCAAATGCACGAAAGGGACCCAAGGTAAGGAGAGTGGTGAAAATGATGACACAGGGAGATCTCAAGATTGTCACAGTGCCAACTGCAGCTGACAGGACACATACCCAGGTATGTGCAGCTCAGTGGGCCAGGAGCTTCAGGGGAGCGACACACTCCCCTGTCCCCCCGTGGGATCAAGTTACAGCTGTCCACCACTGTACCTTGCTTTCTAATGTCTCGTTTATTGCCTCCTCTCCTTCCCTACTTCCCCGAAAGGGTTTCCTGGAATCACCTCCCAAATCAACCACTTGTGCTCAAATCCTTGCTACATGGATTTGATTCTGGGGGAACCCAAACTAAGGCAGCAACCAATCCAGAATGCAGCACTGGGAATCTCAAAGGTGACCAACGCCTGACAATGTCCAGTGCATGGAGAGGACGTTCATGAGTGGCAGAGGGTTTGGGAAGAATTAGTGAAATGTACACAAGACGTTAAAAAGATAAAAATAAAATAATTATTATTTTTAAAAGCTTTGTAAAACTATTCTTTTTTTATTATTATTTTTTAAAATATATCTTTATTGATTTCAGAGAGAGGAAAGGAGAGGGGGAGAGAGAGATGGAAACATCGATGATGAGACAGTCATTGATCGGCTGCCTCCTGCATGCCCCTGACTGGGGATGGAGCCCACAACCCAGGCATGTGCCCTGACCGGGAATCGAACCCCGATCACCTGGATCCTAGGTCGATGCTCAACCGCTGAGCCACACCCAGTGGGGCAAAACTATTATTTTTTAAAAATAATATGTACATGTATTACTTCTATTATAAAAAACTGAATTTAAAATATTTCCCACTTTCTTTTCCCTCAGTATACCTAACTTAGTGGCTGAACTGGATAAACACTCACAGTGACAATCTGGGCACTGCTCTAACCTCAGGGTCTTTCAA